CTTGCGGCGTGGCGTCGACAGAGGGCCCTTCGGCCGGATCGACTTCCGGTCAATGAGAGACCATTCGTTGGCCGACTTTCGCTGTCTCGCGAGAATAATGGGGAACGGGTCCTTTTCCCTGGGATTTGTGCGACCGATCTGTGCTCGCAGGCGGGAGTTGAGTACCGACCTCGTGTTATGATGCTAGTTGAGCGGTGGATGAGCGGAGGGGAGTCTCCGCGGGATCGGGATCTAGACTTGATTGAGCAGTGGCTGATATGGTGTGTGAGCGGGGTTCAGGGCAGCGATTGGAGCTTTGCGTATGATATTGTCAAATGGGTTGATTGGCAGGTCTCGAGGGGCGGGTCTTTGAGAGCTCGCGCGATACTGAAATGGTGTAATGTGTTGGTGAAATGGAAAGGGTTGGTAGAGCGGGGCGCTCAAGAGCAGGGTGTGGCAGGAGTATTGTTTGAATGTGATTGATATTACTATAAACATATATGTATATATATAAGCTATTCCTTGGTACGTGTTCTAAACCAAACTCTCTGTGGGATCTGGCTTACAGGGACAGCTTTGTGCCAAACTCTTTCCACAGCTGCATTCCCGCGACCAGGCTCACCAGTCGGGTGTCGATGGCCATTCCCCGTGCTCTGAGGGAGTTGAGCTGGTTTTCCAGATCGGCCACGGGGACGGTGAACGACTCGACGAGCTCGGCCTCGTCCAGGGCCACGTTTTTGCGGTGTGTGAGGCCTGACTCGTCCACGTCGAGGTGCACGAGCACGACGCTGGCGTCCGAGAGGCCGGGGTCGTTATAGGCAATGGCCTCGGCGCGTTTGACGGTGACGGTCTCAAAGATGCCGGTTTCCTCGGCGAGCTCGCGCCGGGCGGTGTTGCTAGGGGACGTGTCGGTCGAAGAGTTGACGAGGCCGGCAGGGAGCTCGATACAGACCTTTCCCAGGGCCGGTCGAAACTGTTTTTGAAGGATGATCTCGACGGGACGGTGGCGGGGGTCAGGGTGGTGGACGAGGGCGATGATTGCTACAGCGTCGGGAGCCGGTACCGGAGCGAGAGCCGGAGCGAGAGCCGGAGCGGGTGCGGGGCTGGTGTTGCTGTGTATACGCTTGGCCCGTTCGTAGCGGCGTTTGGTCTGGTTGGCATCAATGTATTCAATCTCCTGTAGCGTGACCCAGCGGGCGGATTCCAGAGGTAGCGGGCGGATATTGACAATACGCGATGGGGTAAAGTCCAGCGGGTTGATGCGGATTCCACGGGCTCCGCGTCCTAGCCGGGGCAAGAACCTCGTCCACGGGATTCGGGTCTGATAAATCATGATTGGTCAGTTTGCGCTGTTCAAAAAGGGTATTTTGCATCAAATAGACCTGTCACAAACGGGCGGGTGGTGGCTAATTGAGCCATTGTCGAGTTGTTTCAGGTTGCCACACGGCGTTTTATCCTCTGTAGTCAATACAAACCGTCTTTAACCGTCTCTAACCCCAACTCTAATTTCAACTCTAATTTCAGCCTCGGCTACACGACCCGCGTCTCCTTGTCCTTCTAGTTTCTTTGGTCACTGTTCCTATACCTGCCCCAAATCTAATTCTCCACGTGCCCCGCAATAGGCATCAATTAGAGTTCACGTCAAGCCGTGTTTCAGAGACCCTTTGTCAGTCGCCGTCAGTTGCCGTCAGTTGCCGTCGGCTTTCGGTCTGGAAACCCCTATAATTCTAATTTTATAACCGCCCGGAATCTCCCGAAACCTCCCATTCCCACCACAACTTGGCCACCGTTGTATATTCCCCTTCAGTCACCTCACCCCACCTGCTCCTTTCGGTACCTCATCAACATCCCATCTCGGCAGCTCGCGCCGTCCCCGTTTAGTCAGCACCCTCTCCCTTGAATCTCCCAAGGCCGGACTTTTTCCTGGTTCCCTCAACTCTACTCTACTCTACCCTATTACACCCCAGTCATTAGTACGGTTCTTTTTTTACTAGTGAAATCTTATAACTACGCTTCTGGTCCACCTCCCCCCACCCGCCCGCTGCCCTAGCTCTCAAACCCACCCCCTCCCCCTAGCCGGCCTGTCTTTTTCCAGCTCATACAGTTCCCGCTCCCCTCCACGGTCCCCGCGGCCTATAAATACCCTCTGTTCCTATTGAAAAAAAAAATATATATATAAAAAAATGGACCCCACGCTCATCTCCTTTGTCGCCTACTCGCCTACTAGTGACCTGCAGGATTTAAACATGACCACCGATCAGCTCATTTCCGCCGCGGACGCAAACGACTCCGACAACATCCCCGATGTTGTGTCCTCCGCCACCGTCACTACCGCCAACGGCATCCCCAATGGCATCGCCCTGGACCTTAACGACCCCTCGCCCCATCTAGGCACCTACCTCTTCTCCCGTATCGCCCAGCTGGGCATCCAGCACATCATGGGCGTCCCCGGCGACTACAACCTCAACCTCCTCGACTACATCTTCACCATCCCCAACCTCAACTGGATCGGCTGCTGTAACGAGCTCAACGCCGCCTACGCAGCCGACGGCTACGGCCGTGTTCGCAACCTCCCCGGCGTCCTCATCACTACCTACGGCGTGGGCGAACTCTCCGCCCTCAACGGCGTCTCCGGCGCCTTTGCCGAATCGTCCCCCATGCTCCACATCGTTGGCGTTCCCGGCCGCCCGCTCGAACAAAACAATATGCTCATTCACCACTGCCTACCCCAAGTCAACTCCTTCAACCCCCCGCAACTCACCGTCTACCAGGACCTGTCTAAACCCGTCAGATGCGACATGGCCTACCTCGACAACCCCCTGACCGCCGCCGCCGACATTGACCGCGTCATTGAAAACATTGTCAAAAACTCGCTCCCGGGCTACCTCTATATCCCCGTGGACATGGTATGGCTACCCATTGACGGATCCCGCCTCAAGGTACCCTTGGACCTCGAAAACAAAAACACCGTGGCTACCGCTAGCCCGGCTGTCATGGGTATCCCACAACCCGCTATTACCGAATTCAACGGTGACATTGACCGAGAACTCGCCAAAATCATCCTGCGGCTCATTATAGCCGCCAAACAACCGGCCATTCTCGCTGATACGCTCGCCGAACGCCATCGCGCCGCCGACGACGTTAAACAACTGGTAGAACTTACCCAATTCTGGGCTTTTAGTACCGTGCTCGGCAAGGGCATTGTCGACGAAACCTCACCCCAGTACGTTGGCTGCTTTAATGGCGCAGGCTCACTTACCGGTATCGCCGAGTTTTTCGCCTCGGCCGACTTGGTCCTGCACATTGGCCCCTTACTCTCTGATTCCAATACTGGCGGCTGGACCCTTAATATAGCAGAGAAGCACTGCATCTTGCTACACCCCAACTATATCAGCATTCTCGGCAAGGTCTACCACGGCGTCCACTTTAAGCCCGTGCTAAAGGCGCTTAACCGCCTTCTCTCACTCGACGCCAACTTGAGAAACTCGCTCCCCAGACCTATAGCAAAGCCCGTCGTTTGTCCCCCGCCCGAGCTGCCCTCTCCCGCCGACATCTCGCAGTCCTACTTTGTGCGTGTCATGAACTCCTTCTTCCGTCCACACGATCTTATCCTAGCCGAAACGGGGACGTTTCAGTTCTCAGTACCCGATCTTGCTTTTGCCCGTGGTATGTCCCTTATCACGCAAATCTTTTATTCGTGTATCGGATTCACTCTACCCGCCACCCTGGGGGCCTGTCTGGCGCGCAAGGAAACTAACTCCCCTGGCCGGGTCATTCTGGTCGAGGGTGACGGATCCGCCCAAATGACTATTCAGGAACTCGGTACCATTGTACGGTTCGGGCTCCATCCCATCATCTTTTTGCTGAATAACGATGGATACTCGATCGAGCGTGCCATTCACGGTGAGGACGCTACCTATAATGATATCTGCCCTCGCTGGAAGTGGACACAGCTGTTGTCGGTATTTGGTGGTGATAACGGTAAAAATGTTTTTTCGGCCACTGTATCTACGCGCGTCGAACTTGAAAATCTGCTGGAAAGCGAAGAAATTAGTAATGGCGGCAAGACAGTATTGATAGAAGTCATGATGGATGTCAAGGATTATCCCTGGCGATTGGTCGAAGGCCTAAAGGGCGTAAAGGCCAGAAATGCTGAGCTGTTTAAGGCTTATGCCAAGAGACAACAAAATCAAATTGAACTGTGCTAAACAATCCCTTTGATAGTTGCCCAATCACCCTCTAAAAGGTAACTGAATTAAGTTTGTCTTTTAAACCATCCCAAAATAGCTTTTGTTCTTATTTATTTATTTATTTATATATTATTCACTCTTTACGCTAAAAACAATTTTGTCTATTTGCTTTAATGCCCTATGTATACGCTGTTTTTTGGTCTTATTTACACTCTAAATCTATTTGGAAACTTCATATCATTATATCCCATTAGATCTAGTCATCTCCCTTTAGCATATATAACAATAGCCCTCGCTAAAATTCGACTTTACTCTATTTTTAAACAGGTCGTTTGCTGGCCAGCTCACTTTCTAATCAAGAAATATGTTAATTTGACCATTAAAAACCCAAGGCCAAGTATACTGCCTTTAGCACAAATCAACTCTGAATTGGCATTTTACATTCTTCACCCTTTTACATCTTTCGTCTCTTTGTTTGCCCAATATGGCAGCTTTAATCTCGCATATTTGATTAACTCTGTATTTTCTTTTCCTAAACCCGTAATTGAGTAATCTGGTCAAGATAAGCGTAACCCAAAACAGCAGAGGAAATTGCTTGTTTGACAGACAAGGGACTAGCTCTTGCTACATTAAACACCAAAAGATATCGATTAGGGTATTTTTCACAGTAAACATTAAAACCCTAATTTTTGAAATAGGCCATATATGTTCTAATCTATTTATAATGTCAATTAGCATTATTCCGTTTTTCGATCGATATTCTTTCATATATCCCAAAACAGGAACTGAAAAACTACAATTGATCTTCCATTCAGAATGGGTATCTTTAATGCCTAGCTAGCTCAATCGGTAGAGCGTGTGACTCTTAAAATCGCAGCTTAATGCAAATTATGGTCATCACAAGGTTGGGGGTTCGACCCCCCCGTTGGGCTTCATTTTTTATGTCGAACTATATAAGCGGTTTGTTTACCTTGTAAGATCTAACTTTTTTGGCTTTTCAAACCACTTTGTCTTTCAAATATGAATCCAATACTATTTTTCTTATTTTCAATTGCGGCGGTATCGGCCCAAAGCGCTATGGTCGCCTCGCTAGTCAGCCAGGTATCTCAAGGCCTTGTTGATGCTCGCCAGTCGTCCATTCCATCCTCTCAGGCCGCAGCAGAAATATCTAGCTTAATGAAAGTCATTACTGATAATAGTGATATTTCTAATCTTTTAACCTCTGCTATCAATGTCGTGGTTGTAGGTATCAATACCTCTAATATTGTTCAATTGGCCCAACAAGCCATGTCTTCTTATTCTGCCTTTTCGGATTCGTCAGATTACTCTACTGTACAAGGGCTAATTTCCGCTAGTGGCACAAACTATAATCTTAACGAAGCCTTGACTAATGTGAAGAGTAATTTGAGCCCCATGTTTGCAGTTGTTACGCCTCAAATTGCTGCCTTACCTCAAAACTCTCAAGTTGACAATGCCGTAAACTCTATCATGGTTCTCGGCGAAGGTGTGATTTCTTCTATTGGCAGTGCAGTTAGTCAGTCACCAGAAATTACTTCAATTAGTTTGTCTCAGACTGGTGGTCAAATCAGTGATAGACAGGCAAGTCAGGATGTTACTAGTGCGTTGGCCGATGCATCTACTACTACTTCAAGAACATCATCTTTAACTTCACCATCATTGGCTTCTGCTTCATCGACATCAAAATCTGAAGCAGATGCAAGAGCCCTCAAGGGTGCTTTTGCTTTTGGTGGTTTGGCAATTGCTGTCGCAAACTACTTGTTATAATTATTATTTGATTTTTTTAGCAATCTTTAGTCATGTAGTTTGTTATGATAAATCAATAATATTCTTTCTCGAAAAAATCTTAAACGCCAGTTAAGGGGAACATACGTAAGAGAGTTTTCATTTTCCAACCCATGATAGTATTCAATTGAAATTTCCCAAGTATAATAAATAAAAGCTTTTATTCCGTGCCAGATACGTACAATATATAGGTGCTGAATAACAAATAATTATGAGAGAAAAAAAATAACTCCGATACGGGGAATCGAACCCCGATTTGCCCGGTGAAAGCGGACCGTGCTAGCCATTACACTATATCGGATGGTAATTTATTTGGGAAACATAGGTTAAACCTTATGCTTATTTGGACCTTTGTGCCGCCTAAGATAAGATATGGTGTAATTTCATGTAATTTTTATAAATTATATTTTAAGAATTTCAAAAATAAACTATACAAGAGTGGGCTCTCAGTCGGGTTTTTTCTTCGTAAAGAAATAGGATAATGAGTAGCCTTTCCGTTCTTTAAATCTTCCAGGCTTTTGCTTAAGAATTTTAACGCAAGGATAGCTAACTGTAATTTATGGTGCATAATAATAGAATCTAAGTGAATTGTTTTCTAAATACCTGTTGCGTGTAAAAGCTCTTTGTGGCTTTTCCAAAAGTGCACAAATTTCTCTTTTTCCTAGGATTCAGATTATTAATTTTTAGGTGATATGCGCTATGATCAAACTTATAAAAGAGACACTACAAACCAAAACGGACTGTAAAAAACAATCGGTATTGAACAAATTAAAAAAAAGTAGGGCCCAACCGGGAATTGAACCCGGGACCTCTCGCAGTTAAGATTAGAAAACCCTAAGCGAGAATTATACCACTAAACCATCGGGCCTATTTGTTAAGCTAACTAAGGTGATGTAAATTTTCACCACTAAATAAATAAGAAATCATTATCACTGTAACTATTATGATTATAGATTACACTCCCGACACGTTGAGGCCAGATTTTCTTTGATAAAACCTTTTGAAGTTTAAAAGTCAAAACATTCAGTCCTGACGTAAAAATGGTAAATTTGTTTTATTTTTGCCCAACTATTTTTCAAAAATTTAGACGTTAAGCTAGAAAAAATTGTTCGAAACGTTTGTTGATTTGCATATTTATCACAAATAAAAAACAAACTCATAATCTAAAAATTAAAGACTGTAAAAAAGTAATCAAGTTACGAAACTGTCCAAAAACTTTAGAAAGAATGACTTTATAAAGCAAAACAAGAACAATAAAATTATAAAATAACTGATTTATCATTTATCATATAAACTTTTGGTCTAAAACCAGAAAAAGTGCCTCAAAAGAGGGTGTTCTAGTTCGTTATCTAATTATTTAGCCGGGTAACCATTTGGATGATGCAGAGGGCTGTCTTCTTTATACTAAAAATCTCATTTATTTCAATCCTCAAAGCTTAAAACCTCACAAAAGCCGGTGAGAGCGCGATACACAAGGCCAAGAGAAGAGGTGGTGCCGTAGTGTGGTTATACCACGCCAAGTTATTCAGATTGCTAAAAAGCAGTTTACTCTAAAAATAGTGAAGGATGGTTTTACGAATTCCTGATGGTTTTCAAGGATCGGCCACTGAGATTGTCTTGAATGCAAGGATTGGCGGTTTATACACCAACACTTAATGCGGTGGGTTTCCAAGAAAAACCGTTCCCCATGAAGCTCTGTCTAGTTGCTATTTGGAAGCGGGGAGAAATTGGGGTACAGGTATATAGGAAGAGTCTTAATGTGAATCAGTTCCAGGATTCAGGAAATAATAAACCCTGAACCGGCGGGTTTCGAAATGCAAATTATCCTTAAAAATATATTTAGTATCAGAATTGGTTTTAGTATGAACCGGAGAATGGATTATTATCCGACCTCAAAAGCAAGAAGTACAAGTATCAGGTGTTTTTAATGTAAACATTTGAACCAAGTCAATAATAAGCTTTAAATTGCTAGTTTTTTCTTCTGTTCTCTTTCTTTTCTTTTTTCTTCTATTCTTTGGATTTATGGCCCGTGACCCAAACCCAAATCTCCATACAGCTCTTTTTAGCTATTTGCTTTTCGATATCGCACTGATCATTGAAGGCCCGCCCCTCTACACATGTATAACTATATAATATATATGAGAAAATTTATTTACAAAAATCTCATGTGGGTCTCTCCAGGATTTTCGACTGCTTGCCAAGCGTATATATAATAAAACTATAAATAAAAACAAAAAAAGAGGGCCCAACCGGGAATTGAACCCGGGACCTCTCGCAGTTAAGATTAGAAAACCCTAAGCGAGAATTATACCACTAAACCATCGGGCCTTTTCGTTAATAAGACTAAATGAGGAGCTATTGAATCGGACAAAATCTGTCCCAGAGTAAAACGATAATAGTACGATAAAAGGGCCAAAAAGCTGACCCCGTCCGTACACGTGCTGAATACCAAGGCCACCTCTAGCACCTCTTCATTGCCGTTTGAGAACTAGGAAACCCCAAACAATAGCCAACTGCTCGAAGGGTCCCATATCCCATAACCCGACCCACCAAACAAAGACCCTGCCATATGGTTGAGTCTTTCTTTGGTTAGAAAAATGTTGGATTTGTTTTTTGAATAAGGGCACTGACGAAAATAATATTTACTGGACCAAAGAAACCTCAAAAAAAGAAAAGGAACTTGTTTTCGAAATATGAAACGCCACTGCCTATACCCGGGGTTTTGGCACTCTGTTCAAACTGGGATATGGCTTATACGCTGTAAGTCTGACTCTAGACGACAGACGCTTTGGGTAACAATGAAATAATTAAATTGAAATAAAATATATTATTTATTATTTACCACTTTAATATATATGCTATTATGCGTTTAGCATTCCTTTTTTCTTTTTTTCTTCCTTTTTTCTTCTTTTTTTTTCTTTTTTTTTCTTTTTATTTTGGCACCGCCTATGAGTTGAAGGCTAGTGTGTAGCGTTCTTCCCAAAAGCAGCCAAAAAAGACTGGACACAAAGAATAAGGGCAACAATGCAGAGTCATCCAGCCAGTTCTGGAAGGCCCAGCTCTGCCTTCATGGCTAACAGGGCAAGAAAAAAACAAACAAACAAAATAACCAAAATGCTGGTGACCAAAAGCCACACAAGAGAAGGCTAGTTTTAAAACTAGCAAAGAAAGTCGACTGTCAACAGTCGGTCTCTTCAGTTACGGCCAACGCCAAAGTCACTGTGACTGGGGGCTATAATGGTTTTCGTATATTTGTTTTTATGCATAGCCAGCTTATATATCCCTCTGAGCTTATCCGTAGTGTGTTTCTCGCACCCAAGGTCTACTACCTATAGGGTATTATTTTTCTTCCCACTTTCTGGGCCTCATTTGCCAAGTGTGGCCGAACCTTGTGAATTTTATTACCAAGTCAACTGCCGATTCATTCAGGCTAACTTTGCATTATCCGAATAAATCACCTGTGTTTCTATTTGGCATATTACGGCACAGACAATCATGCAGAGCGCCAAGACACTTTTAAAACATCTGCAGGAAACTGCATATTTTAATTTAAAAAACTGGTTCATTGTTATTATTCCAATCATGGGCCTTATCAAGAACGATAGTGACCTTCTTGTGGAGAGGAGAAAGAATCAAAGCCTCGATTAGAAATATCATATATATACTATTGCCCTGTCTTTTTGGTTTTTTTTTAATATGTCAGTTTTATTTGTTCGACCCCCCGTGCCGTGTCCCCTTCAATATGCCTAATTTAACGATACCCCAGTTTATACCAGAGCCCGGTTCGTTTCCAATATCTCAAGCTTCCCCGGCTTCCCTACCTTTAACGCCGACTTATCGCATGCCAGCCGACGTTCAAGCAAAACTAGTGGCATTTCAAAGGTCGAGACAGGGTAGCGCAACCACCGTCACCTTTCAAAACTCCAATCCCGATGCACTCACCAATCTAAATGCCCAGGATACGCTGGATGAACTGGTATTATCCCCAAGTAGTACCTGTGCCTCTGCTTCTTCTGCATCGTCTTATTCCTTCTTTTCTTCTGCAGCCACATCCCCCGGAATACTACAAACCCCGTTGGATATCAAATCCCCCAATATCGTACCCAAAAGTCCCCCCTTACAACAGTAT